AGCAATGGTTCTCTCCCGAAACTGATAAGGTAAGCAAAAATAGAGAGAAGAAAAAGAAGACAGATCAATCAATCACGAAGAATACGAAGCCTAAAGGTCTGTTAATAAAGAAGAAAAGAAAAACGAGTAACATCAGGAGAAAAAGTGAAGGTGAAAAGATGGAGGAAGCATTTTGTGACACTTTTGTAAGTGAACGAGACAAATGAGAATGACGACACTCGAAAATGTAAAGTAAATAACAGGTGTTAAAGCAGACCAAACAGCTGAGGAAAGGAGGCTATAAAAATGACATGTTGCACAGCAAAAGTTTTCCTTCGAAAGCGGAGAGAGGATATAATTTGCCCCATATATGTACAACTGCTTGGAAATAATAAATAACGCAAAAACTATCGGGAAATCACTCTAAGCAATTAAACAAAAATATATTATTTAAATTTAAATTACTACGATTAACGAGATATTCGCATCAAATTGACTTAAAACATTTAGCTTCAGTACAGTAGCAAAAAATTGCGACTTCTTTCATTGATGCTGTTTCTAACTTCCCAAAGCTAAGTTAGGGAAGTAATACTGCAGTGAAGTGCGTTTGAGGAACAGACCTAATTCCCAGTTTCCTCGCGGTTGCATAGCTTCTACAAAATGAAAAAATTGATTTTTTTCTTTTTGTTGCCAAATCGTCGACTGTTTTATTACATTGGGACTATTAGACACAATATGAAACTGCAGTTAGAATTACCGCACTGACGGAAAGTGGTAATCAAAATTTTTGTTTACCACCACCAAAAATCTGAGGACGTCATTTCAAAAACGTAGAAATAAAATTAAATATTAATTTTGTTAAATTTGTCAATAATTGTAAATTTCGAGACATTCACGAACATCTATGTCAGTGGTGAAAGCCTACACCGCTCTTGAGTGGCAGAAGTCCTAGATGAGGTATAAATAAGCGTCTGGTTGTAATTTAACTTAACGTTAGCCTTGTGGTTGACCAAACGCGTCGAAAAAATATTTTATGTGTTTCCGGTGTTGTGGGATAAACGTTATATTAAAACAATCTCTAAATATTTTGCTACATCTAAGCAGTGTAATAGCATTGTAACCGATTTAGCTCAATTTACTTAAGCTAACTACAAGAAATAATGAGCTGGTCTGCCATGGTTACTCCAATATAACACCTTGTAACCGAAAAGATGATTAATGTCATAATTTCGGATGCTTCCACGGTCGGAATCAATACATGATCGTTTTCCGGGTTGGAACCGTGTAAATTGAGTTTTTGGGTTCAACGTTTCGCACACTTTCGTAAGTGGCAACCACGAAACTCTTTTGACAAAAGAGATACCAGAGGCGAAATTCTTTTGACAATATCTCTTTTGTCAAAACAGTTTCGTGGTTGACATACTGAGTTACCGTGCTCTTTTGCTTTATTCTTAACCCTGCTCCAGAAGATGCCACTTACGAAAGTGTGCGAAACGTTGAGCCCAAAAACTCAATTTACACGGTTCCAACCCGGAAAGCGATCATGTATGATTAATGTCGGTTAGAGATATGCGGTTTCAGACTTCTTCCACCCCGTTTCTTAAGTGATCCAAAGTTGCCTTCGCGTAAAATAGAACAGTCGCTGAAATTTTCTCCCATACATATTCTGTGGGGAATAAATCTGGAGACCTTGACGTGTAGTGAGACGAGCGGTAAATATAATTATGGCCAAGCGTTGTCCTACTGAAAAGTTACATTTGAAGTAACTTGCAAATACAAAAGAAATGCACGTCCAATTAATTAGACTCACTGTTTTACCATCTTTTTAGTAGTATCTGGCTAAAATTTCGGTAAGGTCCTTAGGTAAACGTTGATATCAATCGTAATTTAATTGAATAATTCAAATTTACTGGTTAAGACAACATGTTCTGTCCATATTATGTAAATTCAAATATGTGGATGGATCCTGAAACATACGAAATATTATTAAAAGCCATACATTTTTGGAAGGAGGGAAATTTTGGTTAACATTTGAAGTAATTTTACAGTAGTTGGTACAATATTTTAGAGATGCTGCAATCATACATCATAGTCAAAAGAAAAATGTATGTAAACAGAAAAATTTCACTTTAGTAAACAGCTGCAAAAGGGCAAGAAAAATTAAGTTAAGCATTCACCAAATTAAACGCATTTAACAAGTTTTCCATCACATTAAACAAGGACTTTGAACTCTGCCTTTGAGGAATACGAATGCAACAGTTTTAATTGTTTTGATTTATTATATAGCTGTCGTCAAGCATTCAAAAAAGCAGGTGTTGGAACAAATATATAATATAAAACCAAATATTTTATCATTATCGCTAAGGTCGATTTTCTTCTTCCATTAAAAAGAAAAAATAATTTTTTCTGTAAATATGCGAGGCATCAACGTGACACAAAAAGGTGACATGATTTTAATTAAATTCTTTTTATGAAGTCCTATCGTCGTCACCGAAACAGACATTTGTAATCTAATCAATGTAAAATGGAGAACGTAATTTAAACTGAAAAACTGTTTTTCCTTTTTTTTATGTAAAAAGACTTTTGTAAGTTTGTTTAATTTAAAATAATAGTAGTACATTTCATCACACATTTGAAATCTACTCTTAGAATTATGATATAATTATTTTTAAGTTCTTGATTTCGGTTAGAGTAAGATCAAGGAAAAAAAATGCAAATAAATAATGAAAGATCTATATTTTATAATTTTATTAAATAAATAACAAGCTTAGTTTTTAGGGCGCGCATCACCCTATTATTTTCGTATAGTTATTTCCATTTGAGGACAAAAAATATTCTAGAACGCTCTTGAAACTGCTTTCCTTAAACTTATGAAAAGTTTTTTCCGCATTTTAAAGCAATAACGTCATAAATCTCGAGAAAATGCCATTTATGGCTGAAAGTTTTTTAATATTCGTAACACGATATCTACTGTAACAAATTGAATTATCAACTTTTTTAGGAAAAGGATGTTAAAATTACTCGCTTATTAGTCTATGCTTGTTTAATGAACGTTACTTTCCATTTTAATTACATGCTGATGTATTTTGATAAATTAATGAAGTTAATAATCTGTGTAGCGCATCACGATTATGAAGTTTGGTTTTGTTACATATGTGTTCAACCAGGGGATTAAGCTGATTAAATTATGCAACGGGATTAGGGAGATGAGTATTATTTGTATAAATCTTTAAATGAGTCAAAAGTTTAACTGCACAAAATGTAAATATTTTAAGAATTCTCCTCGTCCCTGCATTATCAATATTTTTGAATTTAAATTAAGTTAATTAAAACCTGTTTGAAATAATGTTATCAAGTTTTAGGTTGAGGTGGAATAAATATTAATTTTGACTGACCCATTACCTTTGTAAATAATCAATAAAACCAAAAAATTCTCTTTGTTACATGTTATAATTCTATATTTGTGAAACATAAATTCAACATAAAACTATTGTTCTTGAAATAATGATTTTTTTATAACTTGAAAACAAACAAAATAAGCTCACTTAAGATTAAAAAACGGAGAGGGCTGCACTAGGTACAAATTTGTTACTACTGAGTATTGTGACATTTTTTTGAGCGTGTATTTCTAAAAGCTAAATATACGGTCACGTTTTTTTCGCAAACTACTGTTTCAGTTATACCATATCGCTGTCATTAGTAGGAAAGTAAAACGGGAGAAAAAAAAAGGGAAATCCAGTTATATTATAAAAAGTCTGCAAGGTTTAATATGTGCTTTAAAACCTACGTGTCTGGTGGATTTACGTTAGTTTCAGAATTTTGGAAGGTTTTCATCTCTTTGTTCTTAAGGTAGCAGCTAATAGTGCATTAACTATATTAACAGAAAGGCAAATCTATATTAATAAAAATGAATCGCCGAAATGTATGTACGCCCATAACTTCAGAACGGCCGCGCCGAATTGGACGATTCTTTTTTTTACGTGTTCCTTATCGTCAGGAGAAGGTTTATATGTAAGAATATTTATAAAAAATGAGACGGCTAAAAGATAAAAAAAAATTAAAAATTTTGCACGGGAATCGCCGCTTCGAATGAATTTGAATAGTTGGCCATTCCTGACGGACCTGTCGCCTGACTGACGTGTCACACAAAACTATTTGTTCGGGTTTCGGTTTTACCTACCAACCGCAACCCTTGTCAACAAGCGTCCCCAACTTTCTCTTTTACCTGCAATGTATCGCTTCCGATTTTAACGACTTTGTACAGAGACTCCGAACCGTCAACAACAAGTAAATACAGTGTTACACAGCACATGTTTGTGTATCATTTATATCAATCTTTTTCGGTACGTATGTATGAATAACAATCATACATCCAACATTGGTCCTTCGAGCCGGATCTCTCCACATGTGTGATCCAGTGCTGTGAATTCAACAATAAAACGCGGTGGTGCCATTTTTCGACGCCTGTATCGGGAGACGTGATCTACCGGCCATCGGAGTTCCCTACCGGACAGGAGAGCAGCGAATCCAGCCCATCCAGTCGTTTCATCCAAGGTTCCAAGTGACCTTATCACGTTTTTGGTAATTTTCGACGCCTGTATCGGGAGACGTGACCTACCGGCCATCGGAGTTCCCTACCGAGCAGGAGAGCAGCGAATTCAGCCCATCCAGTCAATTCACCCAGGCTCCAGGTGATCTTATTACGGTTTTGGCAATTTTCGACGCCTGCATCGGGAGACGGGATCCAGCCATTGGAAATTCCCAACCGGACAGGAGAGCAGCGAATCAGTCTAGCCGTCCCAGGTGCCAGAGGGCCTTATTGCGGTGAGTGGGTTCCAACTATTCCTTTTCTTTATCTATTTCCGGTCAAGCACGCATTCGACCGTAATTGCACGTCATTTTATTTAAATTTCATTGGCAAGTACCATTTACCTTGCCCGAACTGTACCAGTTTTACGTATTTCAACTAAGCGGTTTTTCAAATGGTTATGACGCGTTCGCAAACTTTCGATGCTCCACACATGGCAGGCGCGGAAGGTGACGACAATGCCGAAACATTTTCGGACTCAAATCCTACACCAGAGGATGCAGGAAATTTACAAATTTTACTCTTAAAAAGAGACCGCATTCACGACGAAATATCGCGTTTCAAGTTGTGGTTTGAAACAAACAATTACAGTACATCCGCTTCTCGACTGAGAGTAAGATTGCGCGATTTTGTACGTATTAAGGCTCAGTTTGACAAAATCCATTCTCAGATTGAAGCTCTTGATGACGCTACCCTCGATTTAGAACACTCTAGAACAAAACTTTATTTCGAAAACGCGTATTACGATTTATGTGCAGATGTCGAAGATGCTATTGAACAAAAACGCGTTAACACATCTTCACCTGCACCGCAAGGTAACGCACCTACGAGCACACCGTCACCATCGGTGCAGTTGCTCCCGATTGTTATTAAACCGTTTAGCGGAATTTATACTGAATGGCTACCTTTTTATAATACATTTAAAACGTTGGTTCATGACGACACACGTCTGACCAAAATTCAGAAATTCCATCATTTAAAAAATTCTTTGTGTGGCGACGCAGTAAACGCCATAAATCCGTTAACAATTTCTGAGGCAAATTATGATGTAGCGTGGAAATTGCTCAAGGACAGATTTGAAAACAAACGGTTAATCGTCCAGCACCACGTGACCAATTTGTTTAATCTACCTCAAGTAATTAAAGATTCTGCTAGTTCAATGCGACAGTTATTAGACACTTTTAACACAAATCTTGAAGCGTTGAAATCTTTTGATGTCGAAATAAATCCATCAGACGTCTTACTCATTTATTTATTAACATCGAAATTAGATTTTATCAGCCGTAGGGGTTGGGAAGAATCGTTGACTACGAACGAATTACCAACTAAAAAACAATTAATTGATTACTTGACACAACGGTGTCATTTGATGGAATCGATGGAGTTAAATAAATCGCAATTTAAAACTAATAATACTTATAATAATAATCAAAAAACAGAACCGAAATCATTTTCAAAGCCCCCACAAAAGGTGTCTACATTTACAGCGGCAGTAAATCGCAATAGCACACAATCCACTTGTAATTTTTGTAAAAAATCTCATTTAATTTACAACTGTGTTACCTTTTTAAAACTCAGTGTTTCGGAAAGAAGGTCTCGGGTAGATAGGTTGAAATTATGTCAAAATTGTCTCAAACCATCGCATACGTCCGATAGCTGTAAATCTATGGCATGTAAATTATGCCAATTGAAACATAATACACTTTTACATAGTGACCAACCCTCCCATTCAAACGATGATAAGTCGCTCACAGCTCCTGAAACACAACATGAGAACTATTTTATTAACAATGCCACTCAATTATCCAACGGACGATTTCAAGTCAGATTAACATTTAGCAAGTGTTTCCCAATCTTGAGGGATTCGAAAGAAATCGCGCTTCAACGATTGTACTCATCGGAACTTAAGTTCGCAAAAAATATTATGTTAGAAATCAACTATCATAATTTTATAAAAGAAGACATTAATTTAGATCATATGCTTTTACTAGGTTCATTTACAGAGCAAAAAATCGAAAGTAAACCCCATCATTTTTTGCCTCATCATGCGGTTTCCAAAACTGACGGGGTCACTGAAAAGATTTGCGTAGTGTTTGATGGGTCAGTCAAACCATCAGTCGGAAAAAGCATAAATGCTTGTCTGAGTACAGGGCCAAAAATACAAAACGACATTTCCGATGCAATAATTCGATCTAGGACGCATGAGGTTGCTTTTACAGCGGACATTTGTAATATGTATCATCAAATTTTATTTCAACCCGAAGACAGACGATACGAAAAAACTTTGTGGTGGGATGATCCCGTGCTTTACCAAGCACGTGTCACTTTAGCCAAACGGGCTTCAAATACAAATTTGCTGAATGATTTGACAACTAACCACATCAATTTTCATTTCATTCCGCCTTCCGCGCCACATATGGGGACTATCGGGGAAGCAATGGTCAAATCTGCGAAAAGTCAGTTGAAGCGCGTTACTGGTATATTTTTATTTAATTTGCAAGAAATGCAGACGTTGCAAATACAAGTCGAAACGTGTTTGAATTCGTACCCGTTAACCGCCATGTCCAAAGATCCAAATGACCTGATTCCTTTAATTCCCGGTCACTTCCTCGTTGGAACCCCTCTAACTGTTATTCCAGAGGATAACGTCACCACGGTCTCAACGAACCGGCTCTCCAGGTGGCAACAATTCAGCCGCACTCAGCAGCAATTTTGGAAACGGTGGACAGCAGAACATATGGGTCAACTTCATCATCGCCCAAAATGGACCAAGGCCAGCCGCAACAGCATAAGGTGGACGATTTGGTGGTCGTTAAGGAAGACCACACACTCCCGCTTATATGGACCACTGGGACGCGTTATTACTGTTCATCCCGGTCTACATGGCCCCATTCGCGTAGTGACAGTGAGAACCGCGCATGATGTGATTAACCTGCAAGTGACTAAGCTGTGTGTGCTTCCGACATAAACAAATGTGCAGTGTCTAAATTTACCCCTTTTTTTTCTATGTGTTCTGTACTCTATTTCATTGTCAATGTATGCACCTGTCATGTAGACACATATTATGTATTTCATATTTGCAATTGTTATACTTTGTCATGTTGAAAGTTAGTTCTTTCAAGGCGCCGGACCATGTTCGGGTTTCGGTTTTACCTACCAACCGCAACCCTTGTCAACAAGCGTCCCCAACTTTCTCTTTTACCTGCAATGTATCGCTTCCGATTTTAACGACTTTGTACAGAGACTCCGAACCGTCAACAACAAGTAAATACAGTGTTACACAGCACATGTTTGTGTATCATTTATATCAATCTTTTTCGGTACGTATGTATGAATAACAATCATACATCCAACACTATTTCTTCCGTGCGATTGTGAAAAGTATTATTGCATTTTAAGTCGTTGTTTGTTTTTTCGTAACAAAAAACGTCGTTTATTTCAAGAAAAGTGTTCGTTAAACTGAATTCAGTTATGCATTGCGAAAGTGTCTTATTAATTTTGATCTGCCATTCTATTTACCTATGTTCACTTTGTTGGTTTCGACAAAACTTCAAACTTTACCGTTATTCGAGGATTTAATTTGAAGTTTTCAATATTTTAAAATTCTCAAGACAAAATTTACAGATTTGATTGACTGTGAAAATAATTCTGTGTCGTTTTATGAAGTTCATTACAATGCCGAGAAGACGACAAGCTGACATAAGTCCACGAAGTCAATCAAATGTGCGACGAACTACCTAAGGTGCAAATCGCGATGATTTATTTCAAGGGTAATTCGGATACGGAAGTTGATCAGCGTTGTGCTCATAATCAACATCATAATCAAACATTGAAGCGAGACATTGGACGGTATGAATAAAACTGAGTAGATACTCATATTCGAAGTACGAAGTACCTACTTCATTATTACTCTTATATACCTGAGCATCTACCCCATGTACTGTGTATCTACTTGCAAACATTGTATCTCCCCGGACACAAATTGAACATTTACGCGTTTTGTTAGCATTTAATCTAAAAATGAGCATCGGCGTGGCAAATGACTATTTGTCCTTATAAATGATAAATTAAATGTAATATATTTTTTTTTACTTAAGAATATAGAGTTACAAAAGTCTCTTTTGCTCCACGTTGGCCACCAACGAGCGATTTTCATGATTTTTGTGAAACTTTGCTGGTTTTGAATTTGAATTTTCTGTCCTCGATAGTTGATGCTCAGCAAGAACCACGGGAAGGTCTGGAGCAGATCTCGCTAGGAAAGGAGAGGGCTAGGAATTGTTAATGAGGGATAGAACGTTATACAGTACAATACAACGGAAATACAATACAGGTACCTACAATCTAGCTACAATACAGAATACACTACAGATAAAGATGCAATTCAAATACAATACAAATGCAAAGTTAGTACCTAATACACCACCGGAAGAAATTGCACCAAAAATTGAGAATGTTGCAAAATGAAAACCCAAGCAAGCACACCGATGGAACTCGGGACGAAATCTATTGGTCGCAGCGCTCACACGCCCAAGGGAGAACGCAGCCGCATAAATCCAAGGTCGTCTTACCTCATTCTCAAAGAACGATGCAACCCAGCGTCTAAGGGCCAAAAGAACCCCCCCGGGCCAAAAGAACCCCCCCAGGCCAAGCGTCTGACGACATGGAGAATTCAAACCCGGAACCAAAGAATGCACTGTTGCAAAATTAAAACCCAAGCAAATGCATTGTGAAAACAAAGCATTTGCACCACTGGAGCTAAATTGGCAAGACCCAAGTTAAGTTAGTAACACATACAATATACAGTACAAAATGCTTCAATTACAAAAGTTACAATATACAAATTTCTCCACGTTTGCCAACAAAGAGCGATGACTCTGCTCGCTCGTTGCTGTTGCCCAGCAAGAACCAAACAATACGAGGAGGTCTGGAGTGCGTCTTGCCATTAAAAGAGAGGACTAAGGTTTGATAGCATGGGTGAAGGACACCGTATTTTGTAAATTTGGACGCCGTAGTTTAAAAATGATGAATACGGTATTTTGTGAATTATGAACACTGCACTTTGTAAATTCCAAAGCCGTACTTTATCAGTCCTGAATGCATATTTCAAAAAAAATCGGGCATTTTTGGAAAAATATCCACTTTCCTTCGTGTTCACAGCACGTAACACAAAACATTTTCGCTAATATTTATTAACAATAAATTAGAAATTCGCGAACACGTGCTACTTTTAAGCCAAAACGGAGCTCCAGTGTTGCTGCTACCAGACCGGAATCAAAACTAAACACAGAGGATGGAAAAATTGACCTTTTATCAGGTAGCTCACGTGACAGTGACGTCATCGTACGTCACGATGAGATTGCAAAAATTATTTTTCATATTTTAGATCAGAAACTGTACATTTTCGGAGTTAATTTAACAATGTTTAAACAAACTAATTTGTTTTTGCTAACCTCGTGTTCTTAGGAAGATGGATTTCGGTTTAATTATCATATATTGATAGTTATCATATTTGAACATCATGAATTCTATTAATTATGTTTAAATTTTATTTAATTATATCGCGAAAATGTATAGCTTTGACCCACCAACTTCAATCGTTTCGAAAATTTATCCAAAATGTAAACATTGTCGACCAAACGAATCACGGAATCCGGTAAATTAAAACTGAAGTCGTACTTACCATGTTTTCGGTCTTTTTCGGAAAAATATTCATTTTCGTCCTTGTTCACAGCACTAACACAACAAATTTTCCTTAATATGTATTAATAATAAAATTGAAATTCGCTAAAACGCTCCACTTTTACGCCAAAATGACGCGACGATCTTGCCGCCATCAAACAGAAATTAATACTGAACACAAAGGACCGTAAAACGTGACCTTTATACAGGTAGCTCACGTGACATTGACGTCATCGTACGTCACCATGAGACTGCAAAAATTATTTTTGATATTTTGGCCGGGAAAATGCACATTTTCGGGGATAATTTAATAATGTTTAAACAAATTGATTAGTTTTTAATAATTTCGGGCTCTTAGGACAACGAGTTTCGGTTTAATTATCATATATATTTATGCTTATCATATTTAAACATTATAAGTGATATTAATTATGTTTAAAATTTATTAATTTATATCATGCAAATGTATAGCTTTGATCAACCGACTTCAATCGTTTCGAAAATTTTCCCAAAATTTAAACATTGTCGAGTGAAGGAATCACGGAATCCGATAAATTAAATCTGAAGTCGTAAAATATTTAGCTTTTATTTATGCATAAATTGTGCAGTGCGTTCTTTCTAACACTGACCATAGAGATTCCCAACTCAAGGTCTCTACCCCATACTAACTGATATTTTGGTGACTCGATTTTTGCCTTGATGGTTGAACACTGTCACTGTTTTCCGTTTTTGTTGTATCGAGATACTACTTGAGCATCAACTGTTACCTACTGAAGTATTAGCATCATCTAGAAAAACTAGAAATATTTTGATTTGATATTCGAGTAGATACTTCGTATTTCGAGTATGAGCATCTACTGAGTTTTATTTATATCAACCATTGTCAAAAATTTGATCGAACGTTGTTTCGACAGAACTTCCTTCGCACCAAAAGTATAATGAAACATATTCAGCATTTTCGAGTTGAGTCTTTTCTTCACACAATTTTGTGATGACCCAATCAACACTTACGATCAACACGTATACCACCTTGGATTGGTGCAGTGTAATACTAAAAATAACTGTATTGTTATCCCAAAATTATCTGCGAAAATCGAGTGGAAAGTAAGGGTGTGGGGACAAAAAATCTGCACAAATTTTAATTTACCGAAAATCGAGTTAGCTTTGAGAAAAATGACGGTTGACGTTATGGCATTTTTTGACAGTTGTTAAAAATTGTTATGCCTAGTTCCTCTTGAAAGTTTCAATATTTTTTGTAATAATGGAACACTTAAATGAAAATGATCGCCGATCTGTGATTGCCGAATTTTATAGAAGGCATATGCATTTAAAAAAGTCATTCACCGTTAATCACTTCTTCCAAATGGGGATATCAAAAAGGACAACTTATAGCATTTGCAGAAGAGTAGAGAATGGGAATTCGGTAGAAAGACAAGTAGGAAGCGGAAGACCAGCAAGAAAAATGCCCCAGAAAAAGAGAGAAGCCTTAGTCAATCAAAGTCACGGTAAACTTGGTGTTTCACTAAGAAAGCTTGGACGGAAATTTAAAATTGACAAAAAGTATGTTAGCAACATATTAAAGGAGAATAATGTCAAGCTTGCAACGCGAAAATCCGCTCCCAAATATTCAGAAAAACAAAAGCTGGAACAAAAACGAAAATTAAGGCATCTTTCTGAATCCGCTTTTTCCCCCTCAAATGGAACTGAAATAATCATTGATGATGCATCCTACTTCACTTTTGATGGTAGCGATACTGCTAACAATAAACATTTCTATTGCAAGGAAGGAGAAGAAGTAGATGATAAAGTGAAATTCAAAAGTCATAAAAAATTTCAGTCCAAGTTGTTGGTCTGGTTGGCCATTTCTTCACGTGGACATTCTACTGCGTTTATTTGCCCATCTGGAAATTCTGTTAATGCAGATATTTATGAAAAACAGTGCATTAGGTCTCGACTTGTCCGCTTTATAAGAGAAAAGCATTCGGATGGCAATTTTGTATTTTGGCCAGACATGGCAACAGCTCATTACGCAGCTAACGTTATTGCTGCATATAATGAGTTAAACATTCCTTTTATCCCTAAGGAAAAAAATGTTCCCGACGTACCTCAACTACGCCCAATTGAACGTTTTTGGAGAAATCTAAAGAGGAATGTGTACGAAAATGGATGGGAAGCCTCGACACATGCAGAATTAAAGAAGCGTATACTGCTGAAAATACGGCAAACAAAAATATCGGCTTTTACAAATTTAATGCGCCGTGTTAAAACAAAAATTCGTAAAGCAAGCAG